TATATATATTTAAATTAATATTATAAATTTCATAATATTAATTATGAAATTTAAAATATTAATTTAATTATAATTATTAACTTTAGCAAGAAATGGCATTTAATGCCTGTCTCTAGTGCCATATTACTTAGCATTCAATTAATAACAGTAGTAGTAATATAGCAAGATATAATTTGACAATTATTTGGCTTTAATATATAACTATCATGTTTTGATGTTTGTATTTGCATTTTTATTTGTATTTACAAAATTATTTAATATATTATTTATTTATATATTAATTTTTTAATTAGGATGTGGAACCTTGTATTGGTTGTATGTTAACTCCTGCTAATGTTAAACTTCAAAAATTATGTGATCATGCAGATGCTGGAAATTGTCAGCAATGTTATTGTAGACCTATGTGGTGTGTGTGGTGCATGGGAAGATGGTTTGCTAGTAGACAGGATCAGAACCGTCCAGAGACATGGCTAAGCAGTTCCTGTCCATGTCCAACTTGCCGATCAGTGTTTTGTATGCTAGACGTATGTCTTATTGAAAATATATAATATCTCTATTTTACATACAAATGAATTTCCTTTTTTTTATATAACATAATTCATCAAATTTAAAATAGTTAAATTTTACTACATTGTATGAGAAATGTAGTTTTAAAACAAATAAGTATGAATGGAAAGATTCAAAATTGCTTATTTATTCATTAAGAATAGACATTTTTTAATAAAATTTATTCTCATTGAAATGGAAACAAATTTAATTTATGTAAATTTAAATCTAGTGATTTTTATTGGTTTAATTTATTTAATATTTTGCATTATAATTTGAAATGAATTAATAATTGAGCAAATCCAGTTTAAATTCTTTTCTATAATGTAATCTTTTTATTTTCAGTACATATAGATATTTGTAAATGTCACATACTTTTATGAATTCAATTATGACCTTAAGTAAATAAAAATGTTTGAAGGACATATATAATATATATACTTTGTATAGGACTTTGTTCTATGAAAATCTGACATATCATAAAATATTCAACCACATGGCAACATAAAACTTGATATTTGAATGATTTTGTTAATCTTTATTTAGCCATAATTTTAAATAAAGATCAATGAACCTAATTAGTTTTTTCTTCCTAATCTACTTATAAAATATGTTAACTTTTTAGGATAATTTCAGTTGGAATAATTATTTTTAAAACAGTTAATTATATTAACTTTATTCTTTAAACATATTTGATTTAAGTAAATCAACAAACCATATAACAATGCTATTTTATTTAAAAAGTAACATTTTCATGTCTGGTTTTAAAATTATCAATTAAATTGCAATGGATTATTAGCTATCTTGTAAATTAGATTTAGATAATTGTTTATATTGATTTTAAATGTGTATTAGTTTAATTATTTCATTGAAAGAAATTGAAATTTTCAATATAAAATGGAATTGCAAACAGACAATCAATAAGCAAAATTGTATTATAAGATTTATATATTTTTGTTTGTTTTTAATTCATAAAATTCTTATACAAAAAATAGAAAAGTTTTTCAGCAGTGTAATAGTTTAATTTATAACAAGGTGATTTATATAAATGTATGGTAATATAATTGATGATCTACTGTTTTTCTATAAAATTAAAACTAGGACATCAGGTTTAATCAGGTTAAAATCAGGTTTTATCTATTTTATTTGAAAATAAATAAAATTTTCAAATAAAATAGATAAAACCTGATTTTATTAAATTATGCCAAGTGAAAATCTGATCTATTAAATTATTTCAGTGTTTAAAAGTCTGTTTTTATCTATAAATATCTATCATATTTGCTCTTACTGATCTCTGTTATAATGAAAACAGATTCTTCATAATACAACTAGTAAATGTATTTGTATTTACTAAATTAATATAATATTTCAAGTATTCAAAAATTATTTAACTTTGTGTTATTAAGATGATTTTTTATGGGCATTAGACAATGAAAGAGTTTACTATATATAAATGATTTTTGTAAAAAAGCTTATTAGTTAAGTAAGTATGAGCATTTTACATTAATAAAAAAAATACAATGGAACCTCGTATAAGAAGCAAAACAAATTATGAAAAAATGACTCACATAATGAGTGACGAGGAGAGGGGGAAGTCCCGGATTGTGTGCGTGCTCCATCAGTCTATGTTTAGCACTCATTCTGCTAGCATCTTAGGGTTGAGTTATAAACTCCATAATGTAATTGTATCTGTATTTGTAAATGTTTGCTACACTAGATATCTACAGCAATAATTATAATATACTGTAAGGCTGTTTTATTATCCTTTAAGGAACAAACTTCTTTTACGGCTTACGAAGCAGTCCATCGTGAGAATGTGCAAAATCATTGGCTGATGTTGCCAGATCTAACACTATAATTATTTTTTCATTTTATCATTTTTCTATTTTTTTATGACCAAAGTAATTCTTATCTTAAAATTTTATATTGTTCAGAAGTAGCATCGTCAGTCAAAAGATATGTTTCAACCAATTTGTTGCTTCCGGCACAACTTCCAATTGTAAAGTGACTGACTTAGCACATGTGCAGTTCGTCAATTCACCATATCTTTACCATAAATTTGGTTTTCTTACTGAATATGGTACGACCATGTGGTTACCTTACGGAATTTATAACTCGACCCTTAGTGTCGCTTCTGATCACATTTTTCCAAACTTGTGTTCAGGCGTTACATATAAACATCAACAACCATAACCTGTTATATAATAAACATGCCAAACAATTTGCCAAATTCTTGGGCTATGTAAAGGCTATAATTAAATACAGTTAATTTTCTTTGATTACACGTTATACATAAAATATTTGAGTATTTTTTTGGCGTGGAATGCATTATTGTATTTTACATTCATTTATATGGGAAAAATTGTGTCGCATTACAAGTAAGATTCTAGAACAAATTATGCTAGTTAAGCGAGGTTCCACTGTATATGTAAGAATTAAATAATTTGTAAAGTTTGACCAGTCTTTTTGGTGAATCCATTTTTATGTAGTTTTATTGTATTACAAATATTCTATTTTTTTCAAGATGAAATGTTTTAATCATCAAAAGAAAATTATTTTTATAGGTATAAATTGTTATATAAGATAAAACAAAATGAAAGAAAAGCTGAGTAATTTAAGTATTTTAATTTAAAAGATTAATTGATGCAGTTGTAGTGTATGTTGAATTTCAGGTTATAGTGGCAGAATTATTTATTCTGATAGAAAGATTTTTTGAGACCATTCAGAATAAAGAGAAAATCTTTAATCTTAAATTAATTAGGAGAATTTCTCGCTATTACCATTATTATTATTATTGTTGTTGTTAATAATATATCATTACTACTACTGTAAGAAACCTGGATATTATTCTTTTCAATTTAGGAAAATACATGCTTGTAAGGCAGAGCTTCTTAAACTTTTTTTTATTCATGACCCCACCATTTAAGATTGTGATTTTTTTTTGCGACCCAAAAAATATAAAATAAAGATATATACAAACTTGTAAAAACAATAATAGTGTACTACCACAATTCACTCTTGTGTTACAATGGAACAGAGACAACTGAATACACTGAAAAGTGACAACACTACACTAGTTCATACTACAGTCAGTGTTGCTGAATCGTCTCGCTGTACAGAAGTGACACAAAGCGCAACTCACGAAACCTATGACACAAAGCATGCCATTTTCAAATTCTCACAAATTATTTTCAGTATTTTGCATTAAAATCTCGCAACCCCAAGATTTCGCTAAGCGACCCCAAAAGGGTTCATGACCCATAGTTTAAGAAGCCCTGATGTAAGGGATATAGTTTGTTCAGAATAGCAAAATTTCTTTAAAAAAGGAAATCTATATCTATCTAAAGAACTTGGGATGAGAGTATGGTTTTTCTTTATATAATTTTATATAATTGTTTGTTTTTTAACAAATATATTAACCGTTTGTTGCTATTGGTTTAATAGTTATTGCTTATTTTATAAGATAAATATCATAGTATTGTTACTTTTGTAAATCTCATACTTTGTAAATACAAAGTAACAATGCTTCTAATATCTCATCTTTTTACATTAAAGATATTTGAATTTTTTACACATTAACTATTATTTATAATAAATATTGAAAAGGCTATATAATATAGAAAGAAAAACTATCTTACATCATATATGTAAATTCAACAAGTTGACAAAAAAGTTAATGGGTGAGAATCTCCAATAAAAGTACTGTATTACATTAAACAAAGCTTTTTGATTGAAATATTTAAATATGGAAAATATATCACATTTTATCCTAAGATCTGGTTTGGTTTTTTTTCCCCTCTTAAACTTGCATCGAATAAAAAGAATTATTTGATAGAATAAATAACTTAAGTGAAGGTATTAACAAATAAAGATTTCATGAATAAAAATTCTTATTTTCACTATCTTACATCAGTTTAGTTTTCTAGTCAGATGTGTATTATTCTAATCAATGAAAATACATGCTTCAGTGCTTTTTCATTATCAATAAAATGTATCAATTAGGCAATTTACCAATTGAAATATTAAGAAATATTAACTATTAGTAGAAATATACTTACTAATTTGTATTTTATGTATATAATTTCAAAATATGTTGTTATTAATTATTTATAATATAGATGTGTGGTAGTGCAAGAATAGAATTTTTGACTGAACAAAATCTATCAGGTGGTAAAGTTTATTATTGCAATATAAATGAAAGTAGATATGGTCTCATAAAACAGCATTTTTCAAAATTGGTTTTGTGTTTCAAATGTTTCAGTGGTTTTCAAATTGTAACTTTAGATAAGCAAGTATAAGCTTAATAAATAAGCATAATTCATAGTCATATATAATTACTTGGTCCACAAAATTATCTATAATTTTACCAGTCTGTGATGAGAAAAGGTTGAAAAATAGTATCATAAAGACAATATTTTTCAACCTTTGTTTCATTGCAAAATGTTACAAGGGATCAATGATGATGACAGTCTTTATCAAGCTCTGCCATTGAACAGGATGATTTTAAACCAATCATTATATTTTTAATTATATATTTATGAGTTAAGTGCTCTAATAAAGTAATTGGAAAGTGTCTGGTTATATATAAATAAATTTTAGAAAATACTAACTGTAACAGTTCACAAGAATAAAGGTTTTAAATTACAGAATTATAGAGTAAATTAATTTATATATTAGGGTGGATCAAATGAAAATGGAACAGTAGCCATTATTTATTTTCAAATGTAATCACCAAAATTACACAAGCACTTGTCCCACTGTTGCACCAAGCAGTGAATACCTCGTTCATAGAAAGTTTGGCTGAGATTGAAAGCAGTTTCGAACAGTGTCCATGACTTTGCTGTCCAATTGAAAACGTTGACCCCCGCAATGCTTTTTTTAGCAGACCAAAGATATAAAAGTCACGTGGTGAAAGGTCGGGGCTGTATGGTGGATGTTCCAACACACTCCACCAAAACTTCACAAGCATGCTCAGTGTGCAAGTGGCCGTGCATTGTCGTGGAGCAAAAGCACTCCAGAGGACAATGAAAACAGTGTATGGAAAACACTGTTTTCATTGTCCTCTG